CTATTTTTTTCCATAATGGTGTTAGTGGGGGCCTCATGTATGAGTATTGCCTAAGGCCTCGCCAAGTCTAGAGCCGCCACTGGTGCTAGCCACCGCCCTGGTAGAGCACATCAATCAGTTCTCAAACAATTACATTTGTTGTCGAGGGAGAAATTCCTGTAAGCAGTGAGTGATGAAAATCCTGTCCAGCAGTTGATAGAGTCTGTAACAGCATGCCTCCCTGCAGCAGTGCAGTGTAAATGTAATAGGGGCCTCACCCCGGGTGCACAGGGTATGAACGCTTAAGTGCTGGCCATCAGCCTGATAGAGAGCCTCCCTCAGCTCTTCCAATTAATGCACTGTCATGGGAGATATCCTGCTAAGCTGGAAGTGTTGAAGTTTCTGCCCAGTAGCTAACAGAGGCCTGCCTCCATTCAGCAGTATCGAGTAGCGTATACACAGCGGAGTGCACAGGGTATGAATCTTTCAAGTGTGGGGCACGGCCATATATAGAGTCTGTGTGCAAACAGTTTTTCAAAGGTCATAGTTATATCTCTTTAAGTGGTATGCACTGGGAATCCTGTTGTAATAGCCTGACTCCATACAGAAGTAGAACGACCTAGCCAGGGTAAGCCCAGGTGTACAGTAGTACGGGATATGAACTCTAGAGTGTGCCTGTCACCGTCCTGACAAGAGAGCACTAATTTGTGTTCTAACAGTAATCTGAGGTATCCCTTAAACATCCCTTAACTGAAGTAATTCCACATAAGGTGTAGCACAGTCCTGATATAGAGCACAGAACCGTGCTCTAACAGTTAAGCTGAGGTTAAGGGTGATATCCCTTTAAACCTCATATGCAACTGAAGTAATACAACATTAACATGTAATAATAGAACAGATTTGAATACTACACCTGTACCTGGATTTGAACTTGGGACCTTGGGATCCAACACTTGTGAGAGCAGCTAAGCCTAAGCTGGCAGCACAAGCGTAAACTACTCGCGAGTGCCGAAATCACGGTGCGCGGGTATAGCAAGATGGCAGCCTT